ATTCTATTCTATTCTATTCTATTCTATTCTATTCTATTCTATTCTATATCAAACAAACAGTGCAGATTTTAATAACTATAAAGTCTCACTTTAAATTATGGCCCTTTGCATTATAATAATATGAGCTCATCTGGACAGCCCCCACTTTCTGATATTCCTCTTCAGAATGACCTCAAGGAATCAAAAATATAATTGATGTTTTATGTAATAGTTCCTTTTAACTTTATGTGTAGAAGTACCTAAGTGATTGAATTCCTACTTTCTTGGATGACTGCAAATCATATGATCTAGTTTTTTTTAATAATATATCATATTCCTGAAAGCTTTCCAGTTGTATACTGTGGCCAAGAGCCTGAGGCAGAAACACCAAGAACATAATTAAAGAATTAAACAAAACCTGGATGAGATTTGGTCTTCCTTGCACTGCAATTCTGAAAAATTATGCAATTACTTCTAGTTTGTCCACTCAGAAAGGATAGCAATTCCAAATTAATAGGAAAGTGATTACTGTTTTCTGGAACTGATGAATTTCTTAATACAGATGGCTACTGCTCTGAGAGAATTGTGGTATTAAAAGATAAGATTAGAAGAAGAGTCAGTTTGGTCTAGTGGTTAAGGCACTAAGCTAGAAAGTGGGAAAGTGTGAGTTCAAGTCCCGCATTATCCATGAAAACCAGCTATGTAACTTTGAACTAATCAAACTCCCTCAGCCCAGCCCATCTCATAGAGTTGTTCTAGAGAAAATAGGAGAAGGAAGGTGTAGTTGGACATGTTTGTCACCTTGAGCTAATAATAATAATAATAACAACAACAATAATAATGATGATAATAATAATAATAATAATAATGATGATGATAATAATAATAATGATAATGATGATGATGACGATAGAATAGAATAGAATAGAATAGAATAGAATACACACAAGGTCTTGGTGTAAATACTCTCAGTATATATAAAGAAAAGGTACATTCGTTAAGAATCAAGAATCATAATGTACAACACTTAATGATAGTCATAGAGTACAATCAACAATCAAATCATACTAGGAAACAGTCAATATAAATTGTAAGGATATAAGCGACAAGGTTACAGTCCTACAATCACAAGTGGGAGGGGATGGGTGATAAGGAGTGATGAGAAGATTAACAGTAATAGTAGTGAACACTTTGTAAATAGTTGAACAGTATATTGAGGGAATTATTTGTTTAGCAGAGTGATGGCTGTTGGGAAAAAAATGTTTTTGTGTCTAGTTGTTCTGGTGTGCAGTGCTCTATAGTGTCGTTTTGAGGGAAGGAGTTGAAACAGTTTATGTCTGGGATGTGAGCGGTCTGTAGATGATGATGATGATGATGATGATGATGATGATGAAGATGATAATAATAATAATAGGAATTAAATAAATAAATAAATCAAATAAGTTGTGATCTCAAACAAGACTGAGATAAACCATCATGTCATGCTGTATTGGGCACTTCCCCTTTTAAAATTGTGATGAAAAGTAAAACCCTTTTAGATAACTCTCACAAGAAAGTGTCTCAAATCCATTTATTTATTCCTTCTATCCATTAATATTAGTGGTCATTTTGCTTTAGCTTTTTAAACAACTAAAACAGTGAGAAATTAATCTCTTAAATTGCAAAAAAATCCAGAACTTTTTTCTTGAGGGAAATAGACTTATCGAAAAAGTTTTGCTTCTTTTGGAAGTATTTTTCAACCACCCAGAAATAAGAGAATCTTTGCTGCCCTCCAGTGGCTTGTAAGAAAATTGTTTCTTAACTCCACAGGAAATCTAGTGGTTTGTAAGTAGAAGTACAATACAAGCATTTTTTGTAGAAGACTAGAGAAATGAAGGTTTTCTTTTCTTTCTTTCTTTCTTTCTTTCTTTTCCTTCCTTCCTTCCCTCTTTCCCCACCCCTTCCCCTTCCCTTTCCCTTCCACTCCATTCTATTCATTCCTTGCACTGATATAAACTTCAATGTTTCTGAAGGGCTAGTGTGTTGATGGCTTTTAACAAATTAGGTAGATTTGTGTATGCAGGAGTGGCATTGCCTAAATGCTCTAATGTAAATTTGCTCAGAAATGTTCCCTACTGATATTATGAGAAGCGAAGTAAAGAAAGAGATGGAAAACAACAGGTTTAAAAGAAATAGGGGACAAGAGATAAGAAAAATCTGTGCATAAAAGAAAGGAGGAAAATAAGTGTCTTTTGGTAAAAATAAGATTGCTACCAACAAGCTATTTTAATAGTATATAGTTGAAATCGTTATAGATGCTTTACCTGCCAAAGATTCTTCATACTTCAGAATATGTTCAACCAAATTGTCCACAAGTTGAGTACAGGCTTTCTTGACCGGCTTGTATGAAGCATCCTCTTCTGATTTTAGCAACTGTAAAATAAATAGAAAATGGTCTTTTATAAAAGAAATGAAAGAAAGAATGTAATTGGATATAACAAATGTATAACACTAATTTAAAATAATAATGGACAACAGATTACCCCAAAATACATTGTAAGTAAGACTTATTTAAAGTGTTAATTTAAATTGATTTTTATTTAGAAGCAAACAGTCAATAAATATTTATCAAATAATACATGCTATTCTAAAAAAATGTGAAATAACTCACTTTGCTTGTTGTTCATGTGTATATTCATTTACTACTTATCATAAACCTGGGCTACAAGCATTAAAGCTGTTATAACGATTTATGACTGAACTAGGATACATCCCTTAATAAATATGTAAAGAAAACTAAGCTAGGCAAAGTAGCTTTTAAGAATTAAGAATATTTAAACAGCATTAATAAGTAAGCAATATAAAGAAGATATACATCCATGAAGTAATGTAATTCATTTTTGAATTATCATAGTGTCTTGACTAACGGATGGAGGCATGTCAGCTTTCCAATTTAGAACAAACATTTCCAAAAACATTAGGGGAGAGATTCTTTTCATTTCTTTTGTTTGATTTTCCTATCAACCAGTAAGGAAGTCATTTTTTTTTACTGAGAATGGAATCTTCTGAATTCTTATTAGAGTGTTCATTGACCTTTACACTTTGTATTGCTTAATTTGAATATCCTTTTCCTATTTGTTGTGTTACTGAAAAGCTGCATCAATTCTGTTTGAAAAAAATAAATAAATAAAAGGTATTTGAGTGAAATCAAAGTCCAGAATATCTCAATCATTACGTACATTTTGAAGAAGCTGTTCAAACCAATCATATCCTGTATCTCTACAAGCTGCAACCTATGAAAAAGAAGTGTAAAATGTATTCGTGAATAAATTTAATTGTTACTTTCTGAGTTCACGTATTAATACACACAGATAATATCTATAAAATACATAAATTTCTCAGAAAGCTGTTCATAATCTATCAAAACCACCAAATTAGGGGAGTGAAACCTGTTATTATGAACATAGAATGCTGAAGACATACACAGTAGGGCAAATCTTCTCCCCCATGTTGGTCTATGCATATATCAATACTATTTTCATAACACTGTTTTAGCAATAAAACAATTTTTCAGAATTTTCATAACTCAACCAGAAAAATGAAATATTTGTACTATATGTAGCTCTTGCCCTAGAATCATTCATTCAGCAACCATTTGAAGTTATGACAGCACTAAATTCATGATGAATGCAGCTGGTCCTTGGAGTTCCAGCTAACCCAACACTCCTGCAGTCATGTGATTGTGAACTTGGAGCTTGGCAATTCATTCAAATGACCAGTTGACAAGTGCCTCAACATCACCATTTGCAATCTTTCCTGCCAGCTTCCCTAGAAAGTCAATGGGGAGGCCAGAAAGGAAGGTAACTAATCGCTGGGGGACACATTCTCCCCCAACTCCTCTGTGCTCATGCTGCATTGGCCACTTGTATTCCCTGATCCTCACTATGCTTCCCTCACACCCTCCCCAACTCACATCCCCATGTAAACTTTCTGACCCATAAGACATTTCTTGTGCAACTCCTCATATCCTTAATATGCAACTCCTCATATCCTTAATAATCTGCATGGAACTTCTCTCATACTTCCTTGCTGATCCTCTTTCACAAACTCCACCACCCCAACACATATGTACCTCACCTGCATGGTGATTCTCGCATTCCCCCTCCTTTTCTCCCATGTGGTGGCCCTTGCATCACCTAACCCTCTCCAACCTGTACCATGCCTCTAGCACATCCCCACATGCAACCTCCCCAAACCAACTCACAACCTTCCCATACTCTCATGCATCCTCTCTGTCCCCCTCCTGCACTCCTTCGTTCCCTTCTTAATCCAATAGCAGCCATTTAAAAACCTGTCTGTGGGTCTGGGACTTGCAAGTTCCTGCCGGCTTCCTCAGTGACTTTGGTTGTGCTAGCAGGTCTGGTTGTGCCAGCAGGAAACTACCTTATCTAATGACTGTGGGATTCAGTTAAAAAAAAACAATTGGGACTGTAGGAATTTCTGTAGCTAAGCAATATGCTGTCACACTTTACAACTGCATTGTGTCCATTCCCAATTGGTGTTGAAACTCATGGACTACCTGTATTGCATTTGTTTGAGCAACACCAATGAAGAACACTTAGTCTTAAAAAGATGAAAAGGAAATAAATACTAGGAAAATATACTTGTGAATAGAGTTAGACAGTGTTTACTGCAACTGAAATAGTCCTATTCATACCACATCTGTGATGTTCAGGATTTTTCTGGTCATAGCTTCTTTGTCATTATGTGGGGTTGGAGTGAACCATAATTTCTGGAATGTCTCATTTACCAATTTCTGTAAATAAAAATATATCTATTAAGAAAATTTAAAACTTAAAGAGAAGAAAGTATACATTTCAATAAGCAGCATTATTATACCACTACTAGCCACGCTATAGTAACATTGCTCACAAGAGCTCAGCTCAATTTAATGTGAATGTAGAAGTCAAGAAAAATTAAAATCAAAGCAAGCTATAACAGAAGCAATACATGCTGCATTTTCATATACCTTAATGCCTTCTTCATCATTAACTCTGCGAATCATTTTCACACACATTTCTGTAATTTTGGGAAAGGTTGGTTGTTCAATGCAGATATCTCTAAGAATCTTTATTACTCTTTTTCTGACACTAATACCAGTATCCTAAAGGAGGAAAAAGATTTTTTTCTATAATTTGCAATATCGCATACTATTAATTAAAAAAACAGATATAAAACTTTAATAGCAACCAATATGAGATTTGATACATTATGGTTATGTTGTGCATTCATTTTTTTTAAAGTTTCTATAAATGATAAACTTCTCCTGATCTCCTATAATAAAATCCAAGAGGCTTGGATTAACAAAAACTGTAACTGTGTTTCAAATTTCAGCCTTTAAACGCTCACACATAACAGAGGAAAATGTAAAACTATTCATACCAGTATTCGCTCAATCAGCATGTCATAATACTGTTCGGCAAGCTGTGGTCGACAAAGTACAAACCGACCCAGTAACTCCACAGCTGCTTCTCGCACACTTGTGGAATTATCCATTAACCGTCCATGAACACCTCTTTGCATATCCAACTGTAAACAACAAGCAAAATATAAAGGTATATAAACAAAGCCAGAAGAGCTGTTAGAGAGAATAAATACAAATGTATGGTTAGATATTGTCTCTCTCTCTCTCTCTTTCTTACCCTGGCTAGAATGCTGGGGTCTACTGCAACTACTTCAGACAAACACTTCATGGCTTTTGTTCGAACAGCTATTGCATTTTCACCAAGTACACGCAGAATCTATTTTAAAAAAGGCATTTGTTAATAATCACTGTTTATTACTTTCTGAAAACAAAATTGAGTGAAAACATGCCAAGATTAAAGCAAAATGAAAAGTAGCTATTTAGTCATCTGTCATGACCTTGCAAAGAGAATTATAACAGTAGTTTGACATCAATACCTGGCAAAACCCTTGAAAAGCTAATTAAGGAATGGGCTTGTGAGCCCTTAGTTTCTAACAGTTTATCAGAAGCCAGCATCAATTTGTTCAAAATAGGTGCCAGACAAATTCTATTGTTTCTTGTAGCGGGCTGGCATTTCTTTGACAATGTGACTAGATTAGTAGACCAAGGAAATACTGTGGATGTAGCATACTTAAACTTTAGTAAGGCATTTGATGAGTTAGACCATAGACTCCTTAAAAATGTGAGATGGATGGTCCCACTATCAGATAGTTTCGCATTTGATTGAACAACCATAGTCAACACATAATCCTTAATGGGTCTATGCCCACATAGAGGGAGGAATGCAGTGAAATATCACAGTTTTGGATCTTGAGCCTTGTACTCTTTATTATCTTCATAAATGTCTTAGTCAAGGGAATAGAAAGGCTGTTCATAAAATCTACAGAAAATACAAAGTCTGAAGTGTGGGGACTGCTAATATTCCCGAAAAGAGGATCAAAATTCAAATTTTCCCACTTCTATTTAACAACTACATGAGGCTGCTGGGCAAGATCATTCACTGACATAGCATAAGTATCATCAATATAAGAATGATGCATATTATGCTTCTGCACCCCAGCCAATGAAATATTTTTTCCCAAAATCTTGGGGGTGCAGGAATCTGGATGGGGAAGAACAGATTTAGACTTTATCATACTAAGACTGAATGCTGTGGGTCTTAGCCACTCCCTGCCTCCCATGTGGTAATCCTCCATCATTAAATCTAGATATGGTATCATTCCCTCAGATAGACAAGATACATAACTTGAGAGATTCTTGGCACCTGTTTTTTAGCAAATGGTAGCTGCACAGGCCTTTGCACAAATCCATCTGATCTGCCAACTGCACGTTCTTAAAATATCCAGATGCAATTCAAGGGTCTGTACTCTGTTTACCACTTATGAAGTCCTACATGGTACAGGATTATTAACAGAACCACCAACTTTTAATTATCTTTGCTTGTCCCATAAGATTCAATAGGGTTGACAAGCTTTGAGTCTTTTCTATAAAGCAATACCACATGATGGGATGTAGGATGCATACTTTCTTTGTTATGGGACCTGTCCTATGGAACAACACTCTCAGGATGCAAGGGGTTGTAACCCTGATGGCCTTTTACTAGACTTTGAAAACATGACTTTACTCTTAGCATTGGAGAAAGTTGTTAAATTCTCTCAACCAGGGGTCCCCAACCCCTGGTCTGTAGTCCAGTGCCGGGCTGCAGCCCATTTGGAACTGGGTCGCACAAGGTGCATGCAAAGGTGAAAACATCTCCTCTTCTCTTCACAGCCCACTGCAAGTCAGCAGAGGTGGAAAGGTTGGAGACTGCTACTCTAAAGGTTAAGAGAATTATTATGGTTGGTCTCAACTGTATTATATTTTTCCCTTTTGATTCAGTTGTTTTTTGTTCACTTATTCTTAATTCAGTGCCCAAAATCTCAATCAAGTTTGGCAGATGTATAAATTGATTAAACAGAGAGTTTAAACATGGAAAATATTGGTTGTCTATGTCTGGTAATTCATTCTCCAAGAAATAGCACAATCACTTTGTTAAATTAGGATTATATTTATGACAGTGCTATAGCAATAGCAAACAAGATACAGCTCACATCCCTAATAATAAATGCAAATCAATAAATGTGAAGTTCATGAAAAGTTGTTAACCTTCCTTATCCTTTTAAGACAATGATTCGATTTAATTATCTCCAGAATTAAATGAATTACATTTGAGGAAGGTATGAAAGGCATGCCGGATAAATAAAAGTGTTAATGTAACTGATACAAAGAATAATGGAAACATGTGGTGTAATCATAGCCTATTAAATAATTATATTCAACAATGAACAGATATTGTACATTACTGCATAAGTGCTTAGAAACAGGAAACAATCTGCATTTCATTAAAACTTCCAGCAGTTTACCTGTGTCAAATAAATATCGAAGCTCTGGGCAAACGGCCTCATAGAGGCCAAATAGCGTACAACCAAACAAGCATCTTCATAGTCCACAGTATCAGAATTTATCCTGTAACAAAGTTGCAGATAGTTACTTTAGACTTTAAGAAAAAAATACACCAACACAAGAAAGCCAATTTATTTAAAATAAATAAACCTGTTTTTACTGAACAGTCCAGAAAACTCACTTTAATGTACTGAACTGAGATGGTGCTGTTTTAATGATATTTCGAAGGAATTTTTTGCGACTTTCTGCTCGGTGCATAATTTGTCCTGTTGTCTCAACTTCCTTTGAATGGTGAGTTCCTTCAGACGAATCTTCATCCTTCTGAGATTTCATTGCTTTCTCAGTCTCCATAGTGGTATCCCGAAACCACTGAGCTATATAAAATTTCCGAGAAAACTGGTATAATAGGACCATGAATGGGAACAAAGAAAAAAGTCAGAGGCTGTTCAGTTAAAATATAGCACGTGTGTGTGTGTGTGTGTGTGTGTGTGTGTGTGTGGTTGAGTATTATGTTATAGGAAAAGAAAATTGGACCATGAATTCCTCTAATAATTATTTACTAGTTTAAAAATATTAATATAATTGAAGAGAGTTGCTACCAGTTAATGCAGATACAGGTAGTCCTTATCTAGCAACCAAAATTACGATGGACCTGCTCAGAGCTACTTATCAGCCAGTTCTGTAGTTCCAACAGCAGCATTACCGCCCCAGTTATATGATCGCATTTTGAATGCTTGTCAACCAGTTTGCATTTCTGGCCATTTACAGCATCCCACGGTCATGTGACCATAATTTTCAGCAGTTTTTGTGGGTTTCAAGCAATTACCACGAATTTCTAATAAACAGCCATTGGAGAAAATGGGTTCTCTTAATGATTGCAGTGTTTACTTTACTTTAACCACAGCAAAAAAGGTTGTAAAATAAGGCACAGTCATGTGTTGATCTGCTTAATGATCACCACAACTTATGATTATAATTCCAGGTTCAATTTACAGTCCTTAAGTTAAAGACTACCTGCACCTACATCCAGATATAGGCCACCTTCAATCAGCCCCATCCAGCACAGCCACTGGTGAGGAAAGATGGAAGTTACTGTCTCTGAAAAAATCTACATTGGAAAAATTATCTGTAAACAACATTGCATGAAATGGACTAGTGCCCCATTGGAAATAAGACAAATTCCTATAATCACTGAATTGGAAACTTCTACAAGAAAAGCAGCATTATGTATTATACAGGTAGTTCTTGATTTTTGACTAGTAATTTAAATGATCATTCAAAGTTATGACAGCATTGGAATGTGTGTTTTATAACTCGTAAAGCACTTCCATATAAAACATAAAACATAGTGCTGACCACATGGTCACACAAATACATTTAACATGCGCTTACAACCAGTTACCAAGTGTTCCATGAAGATTCAAGCTCCATTTCTATAGCCCAGTTGAGGCATTCTCTTCTGCATAAGGAAGAGTGCTGGAAAACTAGTATATGTCAATGTAGAAAGATTTCTAGCCTTCAGAATGATAATGCTTACTAACTAGAAAGTTAGTAGGAAGACTAGAAAGCTAGCAAATGCGATCATTCTGAAGGCTAAAAAGATTGCTAACCCTAAGTTTAGAATGATCACATTCAATAGATTTTTTGTAACTTTCTCTGAGCTTGCTTGTTTTCTTGCAGACATTTCATTATCCAAACTCAGTAACATCATCAATGCTAGTCCTCATCAGTTGATAGTTCTCATGATTGTTTGGGAGGCCCTTTCTCCAAATCGCACAATTTGGAAAAGGGGCCTTCCAACATGAGAATGGGGCTCACTTGCAGGATGGCACAAGGCAGCCTCAGTAGGAAGGCCATGTCTCGCATTGGCTAGGCTGCAACTGCAAAAAAAGGCTAAGGTAAGTGAAACCAGGCATAGTGGGGTGGGGAGAGGGCCTGAGCCACTCTTGTGTTGTGGGAGAGGCCCTTTCTTCAGCACTCCACTTAATTGCTTAACAATTGCAACTGGGAGAACTAGGATTGAAGTCACTGAGCAAAGTAGTCATGTGGGTGTCTCGCTTAATGTCACCTTCAATGAACCATCGAGATACCAATCCCAATTGTAATAATAAGTCAAATACTACCTGTGTTGTCTTTTTATTATTTTACAAAACTAAACTAATAAAAATATAAATACATACAATTTATTGAAGTGTCAGTAGAATCTCAAAACTCACAAATATAGCAAATACAAAAAACAAAAGTGAAAAGGATCCGAAAATGATGCTATAAACAGAATAAATGCCAAAATCTTATTTATATTGTTCAAAGTAATATAATCAGATATTTGCAATATGAGGGTTATTTTTAATTAGCCTTAAAAGTATGCAGCTTTATAATTGAATGCTACCTTTAGGACGGTGGAATAATCAGAATAATCAAGAAATAAGCACAACTTGTTCAAGTCCTGCCTTATCTAAGAACGCCAGCTGGATGACCTTGGGCTCTTAGTCCAACTCATCACACGAGGTTGTTGTTGTGGGGAAAATATGAGGAGGAAGGTGTAATATGTTTGGCATCTTAGGTTATTTGCATAAATAATAAAAGTGGGATAAATAATAATCAAAATAAATAAATAATAATAAATAACTGAGGCCTCCTCCACCGTAGAGTCAAAACCCACAAAGCCCATCAAAGTGGATTGTCTGAGACCTGAGTAAGGAGCAGTGTGAAAGGAAAACACCAGCCTCCTTTTAAGCGAAACACAACAGCAGAACATATATGAGTCTAAAGACTCGTTACCTAGTTTTATTGAGAAAAATTATTTTAAACCAATTTTTATTCTAACAACCTACCACTAATGATGCATCAGTTTCTGTATTTTCTTCCAAATAATCTAGTAATGCCTTTTGCAATTGTTGGATTTCATCTTCACCTCCTGAGACCTATAAAACATAAGAAATATACTTTTGACATTCTTCCCAGCATCAGAATAAGACTAACATCGCTATATGTTGTAAACGTGCCTCAAGGTATTCAACACAGATAAAATAAATATTGCAGTCTTGAAATTTAAACAGTTATAGCAATGATTGTCTAAATTTCAAGAGTGCAACCTGTTTTTTTTACCTTTTGAGTAACTTGAGGCAATAGAGGCATGTTTAGAAATTTAGAGAGACATAACTTGGAATTAGGAACATGGTGGTTCTTGTGGTTAGGATGCTAGGTTGGAGGTTAGCAGGCCTGTGTTCAAAACCTGAGTGCTGCTATGGGGCAGGCTGAGCTCTTGTTTTTCACTTCAGTTCCCGCCAGGAACATAAAAGGAGCCCCTAACTTGGCATGCCCTAGGCAACAGTGATGTCACTGGCTAATCCTTTCAACCAGAAAGTGCCTCGTTACTTCTGACACGAGTGCAAACTTGCAACCTGAATTTCATCTCTTTTGAAATAATTTGCCAATATTGTTCGAAATGAATCTTCGTCTCTTACCATTATTCATGCTCAAAGAAATACTAGTAATAGTTGATGAATCTTAAAGCTTGGAATAAAAGTGTCCTTCTATACAGCTTCAAAAAGGGGACAATTTTATGGAATTGGTGAATATTACAGCTAACCTTATAAATGATTGTTGTTAATGGTTAATTCACCAGTTCATAACAGAAGTAGATAATACCCATAACTGGACTTCCTGAAGAAAGTTGCTTACTGAAGATAAGAATCATAACTCTATAAAAATCTTTTCTCCTTAGGAAATGTCTGGCTCTATTGACTATAATACATTTATGATTTTAATCAATGATAGAAATGAGATATTAGAATGCAATACTAATTCATTTTTGTTCATTTAAAAAAGGGCTCAAAATTAGTCTTTTCAGTACTGCAGTTGCCCCAAAATATTAACTTCCAAATGAGAACAAACATCCATGAATTCAATCTATTTGCCCATGATATTTAAAGAATCAGAGAAACTCCACGTATTTAACAAATTTATATTGTGATGGAATGAACAAAACCTGATCATAGAAGTGAGTTGGTAGATAAAAGGTAGGTTCTTTTCATAACCTGATTTTTCATGTAGGGGAAAGGAAGGTTGAAATGAGCAAAGCCAAATGGGTGACCTTGGGCTGGTCACTTTGTTTCAATCCTAGAAGAGGCAATAGCAAATTATTTCTAAAATCTTGCCAAGAAAACTGCAGAAACTTGTCCAGATAGCTGCCACGAGTCAAGAGTGTCTTCAAAGGCACCAAAAAAATCAATACTCAGATATTTTTACTACAATAATTATTAAAACATTATTAAAACATTTTTCCTTAGAACCAAGAACCAAGAATCAAACCTGTTTTAAAATTCGGGCTATAGATCCCTGATCCATTTTGCTAGTAACTGCATCTTTTCTCAATCGTGCTGCTACAGTTCCAAGATAGTCAAGTGATGCCACTCTCAAAGCCATCTCTGTTGATTTATTACTGAATTGATGGACCTAAGAAAAACACAATACTTTTGTCACATTCATTTTCTCTCCCTCAATATGCTTGTACATTGCCTGATCTTTTCCAAAAAATATGGTAAGCAGCTTTACAAGATTATGTACCCATGTCCATGTTGCACAAGCACACTTAAAAACCACAGTTAAAAGTAAATAACATATTCTTTTTTATTAACTGCACAAATGCTACTGGATGAAAGTTTGTATCTTGATGCATCTCTTGAAAGAGTGTTATCTAACTGATTAAAGCTGTTCATAAAAAATCAGTCAACGCTAGGAATTGAATTTCTTATAAAACTGAAATAAACTCTAAACATAAAAAATTAAAGATGATGCTTTCCAATTAGAATTGAATTGCACATCAGATTTATTTTTTAAATATGGGGTAATTTTAGATCTCAAAGTATAGTTCCATAATATAATTTAGCCATTCTACCAAGGAAGAGCTAAAACACCCTTTTTGAATTAGAAGTATTAATATTTTTATCACTGTTAAAATATAGGAAGCTAGTTCAGTATAGGTAAATAAAATTTATTAAAAATACATTCAGTAAAATTTAGTAAAAATGACGTTGCAGGGACAGTTCAGCTTTCAAGATTTTCTAATATAAATTATTTTCTAAAATTGGGCATTTGGCTGAGCATTTCTAACATTGCCACCAAATATCAACAAATGACCAAGTTTACTCATTGCATTTTTTACACTTTTTAGAAAATGAATTATTTATTTTGGTGATCAACACTGGAGTAATGTGCCAACAATAGAACTTCCTGTAACAATTTTCTCTGAATATGTTGGAAGTAAATTTAATATTAACTTAAAAGTCCCATTGCTACATACACTTTATTACTTTCATTAATACTTCATCAGTCCAGCATAATAAGTTGCGTGCTAAAAGTTTTTGTTAATTAAATTAATTCTCATACTATTTCACTATTCTTCCCAATCAAGATAAATTTAGGGTTTTTTCCCCCAACTAAAAATATTGGCTCTTATACATTTACAACTTCGTAAACAACTTTATTTAATAAATTATTTTTTGTTAAATAAATTCCTAAACATTGAATCTTTAATTTACCAATTATTATAATTCTGTAAGTTCATATGTGCATTCACAAAACCCACTTTCCTTATATTTGTGGAATAATTATAGATATTCTGGGATCTGGGGCTCCTATGACAATCCTTCGGAATTAGGAAAAAAGTAGAAGATGCACCTATAAAAATGCACTTAGACTGAGCTTCTCACCAAAAACATCTGAAGTTCAGAATTATGTACTAAGCTGTGATGAAGAACAAGCTTTTGTTAAAGTTCACACTTTTAAAAAAAATAATTCCATATACTTACCAATAATCTTCCCAGTAAACTAAGAAGCAATTCTGCAGCTGGCCATTCTGGTTTATTGACCGTGGAAAGAAGATCTTGGACAAAGTTCTCAAAAAGTGGTCTATAGTCTTCTTCACCTTGTTTGCTACCACATCTGATTAAAAAAATGAGAATGGGAAGCATATTAAACACAGATTATATTATAAACTTGGGAATTGTTGGAGTAAATGAAGTTAGACATTAAAACAATTAAAACCTTCAAAAAAGAAAAAGATTTAATATATCAGTTAAATGAGTTGAGTAATAATCCTCTGCCATTTAGTAGTGATATAGAACATGGCAAGATTATTTATATATTTAAAATATTTCTATTATGCTAATTTTTCAATTTTTGAGGCAACATATAATAAAAAGACACTCATTTCTGAAAGTAAAATACTTGCATATTCAATGGTAATATATAAAAAGTAACCAGTAGAAAAATATAATAGCAATCATTTTAAAGGTTAAATAAAAATCATTGGTTAAAAACAAGGATTATACGCCAAGGCTTCCTCTGAAACAGAAAACAGCAATTGCCGTATTTTTCTGTGTATAAGATTCACACACACCCCAAAGCGGGTGGAAATGTCTGTGCGTCTTATATAGCAAATGTTCCTGAAGCCCCACCCACCTGCTGGCCCTCACCCTTCAGCTTCTGCCTCCCAGCAATGGAATCACCATTGCCCCATTTTTGGCCACCACA